CCCCACACCACATGAGTGCAGCAAGTTCCATGGCCTCTGGTCCATGGCCAACTCCAATCTCACCAGGGGGAAAAGAGTAATGAAGCATGTAGCCATACAAGATCTTTTCAAAATGGCATTAAGAACATTGCATAAGATTAGCAGCCTTAGGAATCTGAGACCTTTCCAGGAGAGGAAGCTCCCTTGGACCATTTTTTGTTCAGGCACCAGCATGACTTCTCCATCAAAGACTCTGCCTAGTGTCACAGCTGAGGTGGGTTACTGTGAGACGGCTGCCTGAAGAAACAATCTGCTTTTGCTAAATTCCTTCTGCAAGTCCTCTGAATACAAGGTCCGAGATTTTTAATGGTGGGATTGTTCTGTTTAGCATTGCAAAACTCATACATGACTTAGCTAAACCTTATTTTCAGAAGTGACTGAGGTCCTCAGGAACTTACAGGAGTCAGAGCAGGATTTTGAAAGCTCGTTGAGACATGATTTGGTTTCATTTGAATAGTGAAGGAACAAAGAAGGACCTATAAAATGCTCTTTGACATTGGCAAAGAAAGCTTATGAACTGCCCATCATTTTGCTTTACAACTACCAAAGTCTTACCCTAACACCTAGTTTCAAGATCGATCCCATGGCAAAGGAATTAAAAAAATCCAGTGTCTGAATAAATGTAAAAAAGGGTCAACACATGTTAAATCCTGAAGGACTAATGCATGAGACGATGGCAACGCCTTTCTGAGCAGACCATATGCACTAGAAGAGAAGGAACTGAATGATGTATGGGAGTCAAGAAAGCAAAAATATGAAAACTAAAGTACTTTAGTCTATTTTGCCAGGAATACACTTTATGTGATCACACTGTAAGTGTATCTATGTCTCTTTCTTCTCCCACTTGTCCCTTCTAATCAAATTAAATAGAAGAAACCTTCCAAATAATTTGTGCCTACAACCTCCATAAAAATAAACAACCAAATAAAGACGACCCTTTTTTGAGCTGCAGCACAAACTCAACTCTTTTTCTAACAAGCAGAGCCCAAAAAGGATATTTACTCTTGTATATAATACTCTTACTGTAGGAAAAGCTTGGGTAAAAGACAGCAAACCCTTAGAGCACTGGCTCAGGAACAAGATCTACTTACATTAGAGAACTGGCAAAACCGTGATCCTCAGCTGCAAGTCCTCCCTGCTGCATGGACAAGAGCTTGCTTTTGAAGCAGGCAAAGAGCAGTTTCAAGGCAAATTAGCATCAGGTTTTGTTCACCTTGATGAACTACGTAGACTGTAGCAGGCAGCCAGCTGCTTTGGTGCAACCACCAAGGCAGCTCATATTGACCAATATATTTGTTGAAGAAGGGGAGGTTCCCTGAGGCACTAACAGGGACTCAGAGCAGGGGGAAAAGTGACTCAGGACAGGGTAATGGAGAGTCAAGCTCCATTTGACAGTAAAAGTGAAAGCAAAAAAAGGTCAGTAACAAAAAAGGCAAGAGTGGAAACACCTACAGTTGGAAATCGTTACAACCCATTCACCAGCACTAAAGAGGAAGTCACCAAGCAACAGGGAAAAATCCAAGATAAGACCAGGGGCCAGAGTCAAGAGAGGAAAAAGCCAAAACAGCAAATTCTTTGGAAGTACAGAAAGGGGGTGGGGGGTGGAACCAAAGGCTACTACTCAGCAGCATTTATTTTGCTATTCTTTTCTGATTAGAAACCAGCTTTTCTTCTCACTGTTTCTACAGAAGCTCTTTCTCCTCCAAGTCAGAGGGCATTTCCTACTATCAGGTTTTTACAGGCTTCATGCTGCTGCTTTGCAGGCTGGAGAAAACAAGACCCAATGGGAGGAAACTCCAGATCTTACTCAGAGATTAACACGGACAGCAGCTCTGACCATGCTTCTTCCCCATCAAAAGATGCTCCTCTTCTTCCCAAGGAAGCTGCCTCCTACACACACCTGAAATCACACCACATTTGAGACTTACGAAGCGATGGACAGCATCTAAATTCTGGAGTATACATTAAGCATTACCATAGAATAAATCAGTAACTTTTTCAATAGATTTTATTCCTCTGAAGCTGGAAATGCTCTTCCATATAGGAGGACAGATAGGCAATAGAGGAAACTAGGACATGAGAGGCTTTGACTACCTGAAGTGCCTGAAGCCCAGTTGAGGCGGAACTGAGGCTTTGACGGAGATCTTAAATTTCTGTTTCCCAAACTGGTGAAAACCAGAGCCTCAGGAAAAACTGGAAATTAACTTATCAAAGGAAAAAATATCCTTTAGGTATCGCATGCATGTGATAAGCAGTAACAATTTCCACTTCATAGCTTGAAGGGGTGCTTTATTTTGTTTCAGTACAGATTCAGTCCAGTTCACAGAGAACACATTAGTTAATACATATCTTCACTTTGTAGGAGAAATGGGCATGAACACGAGATCTCAGCCACCAGCCTCTTATAGCCAATTTATGCAGTTTTCATCTTGAAAGCATCATCTTTGGCACACAGAGTTCACTAGCATCCCATATAGGTGCATGGTAACATCACCTCTAGAAACACAGAGGAGGACAAAAATCTCAAGGACTGTAAAACTACATTGCTTGGGGATTTAACTTTCAAAATCCTGCTTTTGACATTAACTCGAAAGTTTGTTCCAACAGAATGCAACCCTGAATAAAGTGTTTTTCCTTGAGGCACATGTTCAATTTCAGGCCATGGACAGCACTCTTCATTTTAAGCAGACATTCAGAGCTGACAAAACTGCCTCAAGACCAGGACTCCAAGTCTCCGTGAGCTGCAGTAGCAGGTAATAGGAAGAAGTGTACCTGAATCTCATCAGAACAAAGCAGTCTCCCACGTTTAACAGTTCTACTAGAACCTGGAATAGTAATGAAGGCAAGGATGTTTGCTATGTCAAGTCCCTGTTAACCGACCAAAATTACCTTCCCTGTTAGACATAAGTGGGCTTTGGGTTTTTAAAAGCACAAAATAGAACTTAAAACCTCACCTATTTCCCCTGCACATCCAGGCTTACACCAGGTGGTCTAGCAAGACACTGTCACTCCTAACAAGACCTCCATTACTTACACTGAAGTTCTTTGATACAGTCAGTACAAACTCTCCTCACCACAGACTGAGGGTCTATCTTTAAACAAAATAAAGCTGATAAATACTTTAGGCAGTTATCTATGTGGATAAAAAAAATAATTAAAAAAATAGAAAATAGAAAAAAAAAGCAAAACCCACCCCTTTTTCAAGGGGATTAAAAGACAACTTCTTTTAAACCATGTTGGCTGTAATGGTGAAAAACCACCAGTATCCCCCACAACCTAACAGGAAGCCAGCAGGAACACGGAAAATACTCACAGAATGAAGACGGGAGGGCAGAAAATGGACTATGAAAGGTACTTGCAGTCTGATGCACGTTTTGAGTAGATCTTTCAAAGCCATTTTAAAAGTTTCATGACTTAACCTGCTGCTGAATACACCACTATTTTTCTGACCTTTCCATCTAATCACTTTTCTTCCCTTTCAAAGAGCAACAGAAAATGAGAAAACAGATCACATGAGATTAAGACAATGAAAGCGGTGAGTTAGCATACAATATCAAACTACAGAAAGTATCCTATGAGCTGTCAAACATAACAGCAACACGGCAACTTTCATTTTTCCTCCACTTAAAAAAAATCTTGTTTTGAAACGTTTAAAATAAAATGTCCAGAGTTCATGCCCAAGCTCCTCAAAGTTTTAAACACAGCATCTTACAACTGAGAAAACAGTTTGTCTTTTTATTTGTAAACCAGAGTTTGAAATACCTTACAATATATTTTTAATTTCGTTTTTCTAAAGAAACAGCATCTAAGAACTGAAAGAACAGTGTGCCATTAAATATTAAGGACCATATTTTTAAAACCTTTATTAAAAAAAGATTATATAGGTATGATGAATTTAAGTTGTATTTTGAAGTCAACTACTTAAGCAGCTGAATGACTGAAAATTAAGTGCAAAACTGGAAGTCCAGTCAGAGATGAGGCTGCAGAGTTGTGCTCAAGATAGAAGAGGTCTACTCATGGCTGGCACAGCCGCACACTCACAACCTAACCCGGGTCTGTCTTGGCTGTGAATCTTGCATATCTGAGCGACACCGCTGATCAGGTCAGTTTGATCAACTTTATATAAACTCTCCCTTTCTAATAAGAAGGATATTAACTAAAGCTTTCATTAAGCAATAAAAACTTTCTAATTAGCAACAAAAAATAAAAATGACATGCTTGCTCTGTTTCAGGCACTTTCAAGATCATAGTTTATTTACTGTAGGTAAAAAGCTAGTATACAGATTAAGGGATCCCTTAAATTTCAACTCTACAGTTATACACCATCTAGTATTCTTGCTCTGAATATTAACCAAAAAAGTTTCTAAACACCTGTAAGCCCCACTATAAATCTGCATTATGAGAAAAAAAATTAAAATCAATACTTAATTTTTTCAATGCATAATATTTACACTGAAACCAATGGAAGATAAGAAGCAGTGGCAAGAGGCAATAAATTTTTAAAGCCAAAGTTTTATATATTTTTTTACAATAGTGTGCTAATCAGCATAATTGTATATAAAAAATTTAAATATAGCCAAGCGTCCCATTACAGAAATCTTAATCGTCTGAACTGCAGTCATTACTTGCTAACCATTTACATGCAACACCTGCTAGGACTGATTTTTTGATTTTAAAGTGTAAAATAGATTACAAGGTCTTTAAGAGGCAAACATTAAATTGTGTACAAACAAAATTAAAAACTGCACTCAAGAACTGTACTGGTCATGAGCCTCTTCCATACAGAAGGAGGGGGAAACGAAAGTACAAACAATGATAGGAAGTGGTCTCTTTCGTACACTAATTATCAAAGGCAATGCATAGACTGAGCATACCTGGATTTCTAGCTCTGTAGACACTGGAAACATACAGCTTTCACATACATGCTCTTTACAGGAAGCCTTTCTTTCCCCTGAATGGCAATGGCTGACAGCAAGTAAGGGGTACCAGGTGTACAACTAAGTAGATCTTGCAAAATACTAAGATGGGGCAGTTGTTAATATACAATTTGAACGATATATACAGTATAATGGAATGTATCCCATCCCAAAACTGGTTTATGAAACAATTGGACCTTTCTATACTAGCCTTATGACTCAACTATTGTTCTAATGAAAATATAAGTACACAAAGACTGGCAAGAAAAGTAAAGTTTATGGGGCATTTTACAGGAACTATTGACAAAGCTGCTTAATGGCATTTCTGCTTTTAAGGTAATTTTGTTAGATATAATGAAACAACATCTGTGTATAAAATGTCCTGACAGACACTTCAACATGGAGCTTTGGTGATAAAAGGCCCTTTTAAATCTGTTACGAATGGTTCTGCAGAAGTATTGATGCATGCACACATTTGTGTCAGCTGAGACTAGTGATCCAACTGCATTCACATTTCCTTCTTGAGGTGCCTTCCATGTTAAACCACTTCAATAACAATACGATGAAAAATAGATTAAACGAAGTATTTCAGATAACTCAAACTGAACAGGAAATGGAATGCCAATATGGCAGTTAAACCTTTCTCTGTTGTTTTAAAATAGGAAGGTCTCTTGTACCAGCAGAATCCTGTATACAGATACACAGAGGAGGGAATACACCACTTAAAATTCCCATTAAACAAGAGCCGATTCATCATGTGAGAAGGTACAAATTACAGAAGACATGAATAGTCAATAGAAGAGAAACAACTGGTTTACATGAAAGAAGAGAGAACACTTCAGTCTGAATGCAGTTATTTTGTGAAAGCTGCTACAACAGCCCACAGAACCTCATTTGTGTTGGCTTTCATACATTCAACCTCAGGGTCTAAATCCAGAAGCTGCCGCACTCTTTTTGTGGCTAAATCATACTGCTCATCCAAAAGGGGGGCAAAAGCGTTCTCCAGAACATCTGAAGCATGGGCTAAATAAACAAGTGCCAGCAAGCGCTTGTCCATGCGGTGAGGGTCATTAACCCATTTGTCAAGGACCGCTTCTTGAACTTTCTTGATGAGGCGCTGTTTGATATTGTTGTTGGTGAGAGGGTGCGTGGTCATGTCAAAAAGAAGGAAGTTCTGTTTCTCTGTTGTCAATACACCTTTTTCCACTAGATTTTTTGCTAAGCGTTCACGAACATTTCGTAGTTGGTAGTGCAACTTCAATGGGTTCCATGTTTCACCTGAAAAAGCAAGCAAAAACACCCAACAGTCAGGCAAAGCTTAGGCTGCACAATTACAGTGACTCTCCCTCTCCCCACCCCCATGGTGCAGAATGAGCTGTCAAATTCATACAGCTGACTACGACATTACAATATTGTGCTAATGTCAGCATTTCTCTGATCTTTGACCTACGCAGATAGAGGTATAGAGACAGAGACCATGAGAGCCTCCTTTGAGGAGCTTCAGTGTGTGTTTAAAGTTTGGACAAAATGCTAGCTAAGCTGTGTCTTGATTAAGGATATGACAATAAGCAGTCTTGCACTGAAGAATAAAAAAAATATACGAAAACCAAACCAGTCACAACAAGAGTTTACTTTCAATAATAAAAATAAGCATCTCCTCCAATCTTGTGCATTGGTCTGCTTCCAGCCTTTTACCATTTCAGAGACTGGAAGTGTGAGTGAGTTTCTTTCTGCCGCAAAGACAAGCTAATGCACACCTACTCTATGTTTCTCTGTTTCTTCAGGTTTTAATTCTTCTCTCCCTTCCTGCCTCCACCAGGTCAAACAGTGACTGTGAGCATGGGGCGAGCGTGTACACAGGAGCATATGTTGGGCAGGGGCTTTAATGTTTCTAGGAAAGTTTTTTCTAATGCTTTCTGCTAAGGCAGGAGTATTTGGCCCTTCAGAGTGTGTGACTGTGCATGCACTGAAGAAGAAATTTAAAAAGCACAAAGTCAGCATCATAGGCTACTGATAAAGCTAAAATTGTTAAGCACTGAGAAACTCACCTTTGCTTAAAAGTTTATTTAACAGGCTAAAAATTTTAGGTCCAGTCTATCTAAGCATTTATCATAAGTATTTAAATTCCTTCCTGATTAAAAAAAAAAGTATACATTTTAAGAGGCAAGGGAGGAAACAGCATGAAGTATTTCTTATACAGATGGGGATTTTCTATAAATTATATGAAAATTTCTGTATCAATTTGTTTCTGTATCAGAAAGCTTTTAAAAAATTCACTGGTTAACCAATAATAATAATAATAATAATAATAATAATAATAACCACCACAAATTACTTCAAGGTTTCTCCCACTGGAATGGAAGGTGACATCCACTGCATCCAACTCAAATTAAGTAAACAAATGAGGTGACACCAACTGCATAGTGAAAGGCAGAGAACATACCCAGGCCTAGACTACACAAGTCCCCATAGGTCCCAAACCTCTCTGAATGTGATTCCCCAGCCTGACCATGAATGAAATCGCATGCGCACGCAAGAAGTGGTTTCCTTACAGTGTATTGCAAGGCAAAGGCTATTCCCTGGATCTTTCTACATTTGTTAGGTGGCTGTGGCTATACAGTAATAAAAATCAGTACTGTGGTGACACCTTGTGACCAACCTCCTAAATTACAGACACTTGCTTGTCCAAATACAGATGTCTCTTACATCTACAGGAAAATCTGACATTTTGACCCAAACTTCTGTATTCTCTACACTTGCTTTCCTTAGAGGCCTTCCTATAAACAAGATCAGACTGATAAACATCACCTTACACATCCATATAAATACTTCCATTATTCAAATATTTGAACTCATATGTACTCTAACTTCAAGCAGCATTTTTTGCATTGCTGATAATTACAGACAGAGTAATTATGACAGAGTAATTATTTTTCCAGGATCAGGCCATAAAGCAAAATTCTAAGAGTTTATAAGAAAGGCCCAAACAAAAGACTGTAATATTTTACTTCAAAGTGTAGTCCTTTGAAACATGGGAAATGCAAAGAACCCTAATGCCATCCCAGAACTAGTAATTAATAATCGTATGTAAGGAAAAATGATTGATCCAAGTCTTAGCCACAGCACTAATGATAACTATCTTTCCAGAGCCAAAGCTCAGCAGGGTCAAGAAACTCTTAGCTTAGCTCAAAGAAAATCTACAACACTTTCAGTCATTAATTGACCCTTTTTTAATCAGTACTAATTTCACGTGCTCTGCACTGGGAGAGAAGGTAAAATGTCAGCACAAATGATGTATTTGAGACAAGATAAATGAATTGGTTTTGTGGGCTGTAAGAGTGAAGGAGAGCCGAGCAAGAATTGGGCTGCAAGGCTATGCAGCAGCCATGCCTCCGACTGATCAGGACCGCTTTCTTCTCTCTCCACACTCTGCCTGACAGCCAAAGAGCAAGAGGGGAGGGATGGCAAGGACAGGAACATGAACTGATGTGCAAAGAAGGCTGTTTAAGGTGGTACAGGGAAGAACATAAGGAAAACAAGATGATGGCAGAGAAAGTTGGAGATATTTTGGTCATTTTTGAAACTCCTACTTATCTCATCTTACAAGTACCACATATTGACACAGACAACTTCAACTCATTAGCCCCTTCCTCCCAGTCATGTTGTTGATAGAACAGTGGGCTTTTTCCTCTGCACTGTTTGCACAACAGACGTACAGCTCTCATCCATTCCAAGGAAGTTGCATTTTGCATGTTTTGTAAAAACAGAGAAAACCTGGTGATGAATTCTGGCTACAGAAAAAAAACAAAATCAAAACCAGCCCAAAATAAAAGCACTACATGTTAAAAGATGGTAATTGCTACTTTCAGTTTAATTTATGCATCTTGGGGATACAACTGCCAGCAAGGTACATGAAAATGTTAACCGCAATTGTAAAGATGACATCTAACTGACATGTCATTTTTTTGGCAGCAACTTACAAGAAGATCTATGTGCAAAGTACTCATCTTGAAGACTTTGTTTTGAATGAGAAGTACCCAATATTTGAAAATACTTATTACATAAACTCCTGGCAGTTTATTGTTTCTTTATAATTAATGGCCAAATCATACTCAGTTTTCACATCTAAGCGGTGAGCTCCTTATCTCCCTTCTCTTTACCAAAAGATCTGAATGCTGAATTAATACACCTATACTCCAACTTCCACTAATCCTCATTTCCAATTACAGAGAGAGGCAGTTATATCTCCAGGGCACAGTCCTGTTTTACTTCAGAGTCAGCAGAAGGCACATCTAGATCCTTTCTGTACCAAGTTAAGTCAAAAGCAACAGTTACTTATACTTGATTAAAGGCTACAATCAACAAGAGACTACCCTAGAGGACAGACTAATTAACTTTTTTGCATACTTTCTCCCACAAAACCTTACAGTATAATCTCTAGTGATGCCAGATAATTAGCTTTATTGGGAGGAAAAAGCAAACACATTCTGTCCGAGGCTTACCACTAAGCAGTTCAATCCAATTTTGTACTGTTTCAGGAGGCTGGGTCTCTTTTATGTGTTTCAGAGCTTCATCAAGCAGAACATCCCCTGTAGGAGCATCCGACTTGCAAATCACCTAGGACAGAATAAAACACAGTGAGTATTTTGACTTAATTTATATACCGTAAACATCCACCAATAAAAACTGGTAAAACCTACTTGTTAGTAAAACCAGGGAGATTTAAAAAAAATAAGGAACCATCTCTAACAACATGTAAGTTTAAAAAGCATCTAATTGTTAAAAATAAAACATCCCAAAACATAACAAAAAACCCTAGGATTCTAATTACAAACCTATGTTAAGTGTTAGGTCACCTATAACTTAAATTGGCCCCGAGTAAAACCATAGTATTACTAACATGCTTAATACCTAATTTTTAAAGGAAGATAATCCACTAACCTGACCAGATCCTTTGCTTCCTCCCCAGAACAAAGTATGCTACAAGGTTAAATTACTCTCTGATGGCAGTCTATTTTACTGCTTCAAGTCAAGTTTTTCAAAATACTGCAGTTAAACAATTAGGCCATGTGAAACTGAAAATGCAGGAAAATTTCTTCTTCCGTACACTCATGGGTAAAACTATGTTCAAGGCAACATTTGTTACGTTTTACAGCTCTGAAGAACTAACCAACAACACTGCATTCCACACGTATTAGGCAAAACATGTATGTATTGATAAACCACTTAATATGCAATAATAAAGTCAATATAAGTTTTTTATTTAATAACTTCTAAAATTACTTGAGCTCTTCCCTCAAGTGAGCACAGGAGAATAGCAAAAAAATCATTGACAGTAACATAATAAAATTTAAACATTTGAGTAACTTCTACTTCTACTACAGTATAAATAGTTATATAAACCATGTAAAAATACTTTTTTTTTCCTGGTTAGAAAAACAAAAGCATCAATGAAAACATACAGATTAAAGTAGCCAAAGTCGGTATGTTTGAACGGAAAAATAACAACAACAAAATCTACCTTTCTTCAGAAAAAGAAGAATTACTACAGTTTCAAAGCTATTTATGAAAATAAGAACTAAATCTGGTAATTTAAATATAGTTTTACAAGCTAGCACTTTATAAGCATCATGTAAAAAGATAACCAGCAACTGACAGATAAACTAACACATCCACACAATTCCACATATACAAGAGAAGAAGCAAGAGACAGCTCTTTTCGTAAAGCTTCACAGTAATCAGAATAGTGTCCTGGACAAGCTTGTAAGTGTCCTATTGAAATACGACCCAGGCTTAGTTCTGTTCTGTAATAATCCTCACTACAAACAGTAAAGGAGTACAGTATATTTTCACAGGGTCTGTGTCTGTAGATGACACTGAAAGGAGTTGCAGTGCTAAAACAATTTCAATATTGGTAAGATGATCCCAAACTGGAGCTGTGTACAAAATCAATGAGATGAAATGAAGAGGAAAATTGCTGGAGAGATCTTCATGAATACTGAAGATGTCATAGCTGGAATACTATTCCCAATTTAGATGGTACATACAAAGCAACAGAAACTAAGATTTTTAATAAAATCAGCAAGAATGAACCAGTCCACAATGCCAAGCTAAAAATAACAAAGCTTGCTGAGACCTAAAAAGAAAGCACGTAAGATATTTTTACAAAGCAAAGATACCAACTTCTTCTGGAAACAGAGAAGATGCAGGATATATTGCCAAAAACTTTAACAGGCAAATTAAACACCCAGGGAGATGATGTACTGCAGTCAGTGGAGAAGTTTAGAACTAAACACCTGCCAAAGAGGGACCAGAGAAACTTCATTATCAGTTACTGCACCAAGATTGAATGATTTCTTGAGATACTGTCCAAGTCTCCATTTTTGAGAGCTGGAGATCACTCCAGTCATAAATTTCAGACATTTGGTTTTAAAAACACAACTGCATTTTAATCCAGACAATCTCTATTTGAAACTAAACACACAACAATGCATATTTACCCTTCTGATTTTCAAGCTTGCACCACAGCATCACTCAAAACCTCTACTAAACACATACAATGATATTACATACTTTCCAGTTTTATATCCAGATTTCAAATTTTTAGAAGTTTGTTCTTTAATTATACAAGAGAATACTTCAAATTGGGTTTTTAAACTGCTAGACTGCAGCTATTAATAGCCACCTTTCAGATATTCCTTTAATAATTAGCCTAAAAACACCCAACTTATTTATCTTGCCTTCTTTTTAATAAAAACTGACACTCCAGCAGTATTTCAGTTCCTTTGAAGTGTCCCATAAGATTAGTTTCACAGAAACCTGCCTGGTGTAGTTGGTATCCTACTACTTACCATCTCACTTCAACAGGTAAGATGTGAAGTCATCTTTCTGACCTGATTTATTATAAAAAAAACCACACACAAAACAAACCTCACTAAAGAGATTAAAAAATGCTTTTAAGTCTAGGATACGAGGTGGGTGTTTTAAAGTTTAGAAAACAGCTTTCCTTGCTTTTTGGGGGTTAAGATACTTTTTTCTACCATTGCAAAGAAGTTTAAGGAGCTAGCCTGAATATAATGCACCATGACAGTACAAGCCTAAACACATAGGCATTTAGGGGAAAGAACTCTAAGTGGCATAGACTTCCCCATTCAACTCAGTCAGCACTCCATAAGCTCTTGCACAGAGGTTTTGTTTCCAAGTTTACTGTGTTCTGCAGTCAGGCATACAGCACCACTTCTTCTCACTTCTCTGCTGCACTGAATATTCACTTCACAGATTCTTCTGACCGTCCTCCCCCTCAAGTATTTTGGTTCACACTTACATGGTTTTTCTCTCTCACTCCCCTTCCCAGCACACGAAAACTGGCAACAGCAGAAGTCCAGCCACCACTCTTTTATCTTTGTGGATCTTCTCTCTCTTGAGTAAAGATTTATCGATGAATGCTTCCTGGCTGACTCTCTTCAGAGTCATAACAGCACAAGAGGAGTGGGAAATCAAGTCGGCTGGGGATCTTGTGAACTGAATCATCACCAAAGATTAAGCATACAAGGGGACTTTTTTTGTTTTCTCTTTAATAGATGGGCTAAGGTAGAGGAAGAAACTAAGATCCTGGTTCTTCACAGATAATGGTCCTTAGCCTTATTGCAAAAAATCTTTATTCCAATTTTTCAGTGATTTATCAAGTACTGTATCTGCCTTGTATCAAACTGCAGAGGAAATTTAAATTATACAGAATATTTAATTCAAATTTTCCACAATGCTGCTTTGCAATTGAGCAATGCTGAAGATTAAGTACCTCTTGTGCTATTTTTAAGTAAACTTCATCACTCAGGTTTAACACAAAAATTCACTCATGCATGAATCACTCAGAACTGTCAGCCATAAAATACTGAAGTTAATCCACAAAGGATTTGTTTGGATTTCTTTTGTTTTTAAGCACTCTGATGATTTGGTTTGTTTTCTGAAGCAATAAGGCAGTATAGAGTACAATTTTCTATCTTCAATAACCACTATTCTTACAAATTATTTTATTTATATATAAACCTCAACATTCATTTATTTGTTCCAAAATTGATACCAGTAGATAGAAGTTCAAAACGATGCAATGATTACATATTCTTAGGCCAAATTTATGAGGACATTGCAATGTAAAACAGGTCATACTGACTTTCAGAGTTTTGCTAAGGTCCATCAAGTCCTTATCTGCTAGCTTCTCAGTCTCATTTGTCTCTCTATGACATTCAACCATGGATTTAATGCATCTTGACCCGTTCTGAAGTTCTGTTTTGCAAACTACAAAAAATTATCAGCAAAGATCCACCTGATTTAAAGCTTGAAGTAGAAATCATTGTAGCTTGCAATCTTTAAAGTCAGCTGTATGACCAAGGCCACAGTTAGCTGGTTATAAATCCATACTACTGCCCAAAGAACTAGTTCTATCCTCTTTTTGTTCTCACCTTACTGCTTGTGCCAGCAGCCTCACTTGTGCCCCACTTGATGACAAGATGAAGAAAGTCACTGAAATAAAACCTAAACTGATCAAAGAAGTGAATTAGTTTTGACCCACAGGGGTTACCTGACAAGGCTGCACAAAGGCTAGTAATAACCCAAGAGAGACTGATAAGCCTCTTCACAAAGATGGGACTACCCTTCTCAGCAGCAACAAACGCTCAAGTGCCTGAAGCCTTAACTCCTCCCTTCAGACCATGGCTCAAATATACAGGGTTTTGATTCACAAAGCAAAGCTTCGAGTTTTAAGGAGATTTTACCTTCCCACAAAATCTGATTATAAACTTGGGGCGAGGAGGAAGAAGGGCTAGCCTGAGAGGCAGAAGCTATAACAATATTGCCACTGAATCACAATCTTGTATGCAACTAGACAGCGCACTCCACTCACTAAGCACAGTATTTCGTTCACAGCTGAGGGCAAGGGGAGCACAAGCCACAAGAGGAGGACAAGGAGAACACTTTGGTAGAGCTGAGACAATTCTAGCTAATACATAAACAAGACAAATTTGGTGATAATGCAAAACTTCAAATAAGGTACAAATTATTCATGGCAGTGATTTCTATATTGAGAGAGGTGGTACAGGAAGAGAAGAAACCCTACATGTATCAACAGTTAGGGATATTATTTGCAAGAAATTACTTAAGCAGAAACCAATCTTTATTTGAACTTTAAATTAAAGCCTTTTACCTAGAACCCTCCTACCTGCAAAAAGAAATCTCTCAATTGCCTTACAACAGCAGAAAGAACAAAACCTTTAATACTGGGTAGCTTTTAGATCTCCTTAAACAAAGCAACTGGGAGAAGAAAGAAAAAATACACCAACTCACCCACAAAACTGCATGATAAAATTTAACACAAAAAATCCAAACAAACAACAACCACCAAAAAAACAAGAAGTAATTTTGCTCATATTCTTTACTGAAGATATGTGCAGGTTATTTTTCCATTTTCCTAAGAAAATCCCTAGTTAAAATTTCAGGTAGATGGAGCTAAAAAGTTTTGCACAGAACGAAAATAACTGCTGGAGAACATTCCTGAATGTCTAAGGAGCCAAAAGCTTTAGAGGAAAAAAAAAATATGCAAACTAATCAATGCTGAACATACTTAAATGAAGCTAAAAGAAGTAAGAGTTTGTCTGAACAGAGGTTCAGTTCTTTAAAAGTGGAGTAAGCTGGGAGAAGGTTGGGGAATTCATAAGCTTTCCTTTAAAATATTCCGCAAAAGATAATATTGACAGCAAAATGTGACATAAAAATAATTTATTCGTGGAGGTCAGACAACATTTGACCACGTTTCCAATAAGCTGATTTTACAAGTATCCTCTCATGCTCATGAAGTAAAAATTCTTCAAACAGTGTGACTGACTTTTCACATTTTTACTAAGGAAATATCCAGTGGCAAAAGTAATAAATTAAGACCTCAAATCTTCAGCTTAATTCAATACAGGACCTTAAAAATGGGCCCATCTTAAAGGTCAGATAGTACAACAAATTCAACATACTGGTCACATACTTAAACTAGATACGGTTGTGTGTTCTCAGGGCCCCAAGATACAAGGCTGGTTTTCTTCTCAAGCATTGTAAGCACAACCACAGCACTCCGCACACCAGAATTAAACTGGCGGCTTGCAGGATACGTTTGGCAGGCTGTCAGTCCGCAAGGTTCCCAACAGCAGCAGGAACGCACCAAGAGAACAAACAGGAGCAGAGAAAAAGTACAGAAGATATTCCAAGGCACTTCAGCTCACCATTTAGAATACTTAATTCTGTGCATATAACTTAGGTCATAACTCAGAATCCCTATCCCCAGGTAAACTCAAAAAAAGGTCCTTTTCTTAGAACCACTTGTAATTTATAGCTACTGTACTGCCTGGAGCACAATATAAAAGTAAGTGTGACCATTTTCCTCCACTTACCTTTCTCGTTAATAGACTTTTGCGCCTCATTCCACAAGCCTCTAGCTGAAGACGCCCTCGCAATGCCAATTCAATTAACATGCAGCCTCGCAATCCTGAGGAGATGCAATCATTCCAGAACGATGTGTAACCCTGTAAAGAATGAAAGGCAGTAAGATATCTCCATTCCACCTGAAGGCAAATAGTAAAAGAGGCTTACTGCGTTCTCTAAGCAGTGCTGCTTTCATGCTCTTTTGAAGTAGCATCACTAGTCAACTACCATTCCTGTACTGAAAACATAAAAGGGAAACAGACTCATCCCCTTTAGCTTTGACATTCAGTCTCTGCTCTTTCAGGAGAGGAAAACTGCACAAAAGTGATGCAAAATGAAAGAGGAAGATACCAAGAACTGCAAAATATAGAGTGGAGTTTACACATAGTCAAAATAAACTTACTACATTTTAAAGACCTCAAGCATTTGGCATTACTGACATCAGACAGGTTTATCTGAGTTTTCTGAGAAACATCAATGTGATTTTACATCCATAAGTAACGGCACTGATGAAGTAATAATAACCTGAAAATTGATATTAAGCAAAATACAGTGTGTACTGGAAACAGAAATGTGACTTTCAGCACAAACCACAACACAGATCTTTTTTTAACTTGAATACAGTAAAGCAAAGACAGCAACTTTAAATCAAATATTTGGAACAGCTAGTATTCTGTCATTTAAATCCTTTGAAAACATGTATTCTTAAAGCCTGATCCATACTGTTCTTACACACACTGCAAAACTGTAAACCACATTTATTCTATGAACCACACCACATCCACCATGCTGCTCCATCAACATTCTTGCATCCACAGCTCTCTGCTTAGAAGGCAAAACAGTGTACTTGACCCAATACATTTACTCACTATCTAGAAATACATGTATTGACTTTGGTACTCCACTGATTGTTCAACTATTATGACCAAAAAAATCTTACAAAAAGGTTTCTATTTTACCTACAGAGTAGCCAACACAGTTCTCGCATATTTTTTAAGTATCTAACGCAAACCAAAATATCTCTGAAAAATGTTTTGTCTTTTCAGAAAGGACTGCAGAAACACTTCGTATGATCCAAAAAAGCCTTCCAAAATTCCTCTAGTGATGCATCTTTGAAAAATACTGACTTTGAGATACTTTAGAGAAACATGCTATAAAAAAGAGGGGGGAAAAAAGGAAAAAAGAGAGCACTCCCTTTCATAAAATTTATCCTAACCAGTAAAAAAAACCTAGCTTCAATCAATTCCACTCAATTAAATACCTTAAATTCAATATTCCATTCACAGATAAAAGCTGCCAATGTATATAGAAGATGCATACACCTGAAGTCCAGTAAACTTAAAAATCAGTCACTAACTAACGCATGACATTAAATCTAGACTTTCAGAAACATGACGGTATTTGTTTCCATTCAGCACTTAGTTATTTTCAAGAGCTGTATTATAGAGAGAACCAACACTTCTGAAAAGTTGACAAAAGCTCTGAATCTCTACAGAGCAATTACTGAAATATGTCATGGACATTTATTTAAAAGGCCATAAACAGAAAGTTGGAAAGGCATCTGAGAAGTTATCAGCCTTCTATTCAGAGCTCATACTTTGCAAGTACCAGCTACTCTCATAAATCAGCCACTCTATAAATTAAGGTTTTGGTTGGCACCAGACATTCCTTTGTCAAGAAACATGCAAGATAAGGTTCAGTATTAGGTTGATAAAAACAAAGATTACTCCAACATTCTACTATTTCCAATCAAATAGCCTCTTCACATAGTAATTTTTGAAATCAGATAACACAGATGCAAACTAAAAATCTATTGCACACAATCTGTGGTACACTATACACTTCTTTTTATTCACAAAAAGTGCTATATTATTATGCAAACAGGTGAGCGCTAATTTTCCCCCCTTTGTTGAGTAATGAAAACTGAATTTGTTTTTAAGTGAGTATTTTTCAATGAAGTGACATTAACTACACTACTCCTGGAAGCAATTACTAGATGTAAACTCCTCTGCTCCAGCAGTTATTCAACATGTATGGCCAGAGGCTGTGGGTTGCAGAGAAATACAGGATCATAGCATAACTCAGGATAACCACAGGAGATATCCTGTGCAACCTCCTGTTGAAGGCAGACTCAGATCAAGTTGCTCAGGGTTCTGCACAGACAAGTTTTGAAAACCTCCAAGGATGAAGGCTGTACAACCATCGAACAGTTTTTAATCAAGTAATATGAAAGGCAGTTCAGAAAGATTATGGCCTTCATAAATGGAACTGCTTGCTCCAGTGAGTTAGCTGGCATTAAAGTAATGAGAATGTACACTGCCTTACTACATGTTTTTTATTTTTTTTTTTCAGGTTCAGAGTTTGCAACTGATCCACTAGAGAAGGAACATCATACTTCAATACACTGAGACTATACTGCTATTAACACAGTGAGGAAGGAGGTATTTTACAACAGTTGGTGTCATCCTGAACGTTTCTCAATCCATTAAATTGATCTTTCCAGATAGTTCAGGCTGATGGACTGATTGGTATTGGCACTTACTGCAAGGACCTCAGACAATTGAGGGAACCTTCACAGAAGGTCAGTTTAGCACACAAGAGTATAACTAAATCATCCTTTAAATTAACTCAAACTTCCTGGTGCAACTGAAAATGAGTAGAAGCAGACATTTATCTTCAACACTGCAAGCAGCTTCTTGACATCTACTTCACATATCATACAACATAACTAGAAAAAGTGCATAGAAGAGAAACAGTAATGCTCAGCAATACAGAACTACTGTCTATTGAAGAGGCTATAGATGGAGAGTGAAGAAAAGAGGAGTGAAAGGGGTATAGAGTATAATAATAATAGTAATATATGGAAAAGGAGAATAGCAATATAGAATAATGTACTCTTTGCATAGGAAACAATTATTTTTCCTTTTTGCACAGACAAAGACTAACAGGTGGTAAATGAAGCTAGCTCACAGGTTAGAAAATTCAGTGGTCAACTTCTTTTCTATGCTTTTATTGAACTGTTTTTACAGGAAGGTAAGAGTTTTTAAAAAACCCTGTAACTTCAAAAAGTAAGTTAAACTCATAGGCAATTCAAGGGACAGCAGTGGATCTGTATGCCACACATTGGTAGCTCCCACCCAGCTGAAGTAAGTGTACACTGGAGACGGGATATGGTTTGACCTTTTGATACTGTTTTCACCATTATTCCAAATACCTAATAGTCTCGAAACATCAGACTGAAGATCAAAGACCAGTATTTAAAGAGGCGAGTCATTCCACTATTTAATGCTCTTAAACAGCACTAGTTTTCTCACAAATACACGACCAAATTTTATTTTATCCATCTTCCTGTAAGACTTGTAATTTCATGAACATCCTACCTCAATGAAATACTTGTTTCATTAAAGTTGCTAAACATCAGAGAAAAAAAAAAGTCTTACAAGGCAGGGAATTCTTTTCATCTGACAGCAGTCACACTAGGATAGCACTGTAAGCTATGAATAGCTCTCAAGACAAAATTTTAAATCCACATTGATTCAGAGATCAAAAGAATGTTTACACCTGTCATGTTTATTTACATAAACAGTACAAAAGCATTTTTCATCGGAGCTGACCTAGAAGTATTCAGGTAAAAACTAGTTTTGCTAGACAAGCATAAAGGGAAATGAGAATAAATTTTATAACAGAAACTTGTTACCATATTAACTTTGAAAGCTCAGACTTTCCACCAAAGTACAGCAAAGCACAGAGCTAACCTCCTTCTGCTTAAAGAGTAAGTTACCCAAAATCCGTGTTCATCAGATCATTTCTCTCCAACCACCTCCTGCAGCATTTATTTGCCTTCTCCTCTTTCCATGCCCCCTACGTCATTTCCAGTTGGCACAGGTCTTCCTGTTCAGTTAGCCATTAATCACTTGAAAACTCCCACTTATTAAGTAGTCCATCTCCTAATGAACGCGCTGTGCTTTGGTGTTACCCAACCGACCTTATCTTCAACTCCCTGTTTTTACCTTGCCTCTTTAGCTGCACTTCCCCACCACCAAACTGTGACACTCCCTCTCCTACAGCAGCCCCCCTTGCTCACTTCGTATTACTGCAACATATAATACACTAACATATCACTTCCAGGCTTATAAAGATCTGAATTTCTGTGACCATCACGGATCTCCTTAGATCTGTTCACACAGATGGTGCAGACAAGATAGCAAAATATTTACACTATATATGGTGAGCAGCCATCTTATTCTTTCTCTGCTCCAAGAGAGGGCCAAAACCACATGATTATATTAGCAGACATACAAGTAATCCTCATCAATAGGCTGGGTCTAGCTTTGCTGAGCACAGCACAAACTCTTGCAGCTTCTTCCCACTTACTGTAGGAAGCTGTCCAGCTCAGATCTGGACACAGAACAGTATAAACATGTACTAGGACCCAGCCTCCTACAGGTGTTGACGTGCAGAGTGCAACAGAAGAGAGGGCTCGTACGGTCATCCCACAGGGAAGAGATTATGCATAGAAACATCCTACCGATGTCCCTTAAAACTTTAACTTACATTATTCCTAACAACATCCTCTCCCAGTTTGCTTCCAAGATCCTTGACTCTCTAACTTCATATAGCTATACTTAAAATGGAACAGGGTCCTAGGACTTGCAAAAAAGCGTTTATAACAGTTGCTAGAAATTATGAGAACTTCTACATAGACAAAGAAACAGTGCTGTTCAGCAGCTCAAACATCATCACCCTAGATGTGAAAAACCTAATGGGATCACCTGTTTATGCTATAATCAAGCCATAGCTAGATGGACAAACTATACAGAGAAAACACACACATACTATCTCTGAAAACATCGTAGTATTCTGAATTTGGTGGTTATTCAAATATTTTGTTGAAGCATTCAGTCATAAGTATTACAAAGTAAGAGCTATTACAGAAGAATTAAAGTAAACTTCTACAGAACACATTGACTTCACATTTTTCAAGACACTAAAAATTCAATTTTTTGGATATTTAAAAATCCATAGGTTACTTGAGAGATTTTAAAATCCAAAGATTTGTAAAAATGTTTGTGAAAAGAAGACAGGTAAGACAACACTTTTT